ATTATTCTTTGCAGGATAATAAATAAACATACTCGACTATTTCATTCCTCTTTTCTCATGTCGTTGCGCTTTGCCAGCAGTAATGCTACGCTTTGGGATACTTACAGGATGAAAAGGTATCTGCGCTTGAAGCACAATCGTGAGTAACAGAGACAGCGAAAGCAGGAAAAGATGGCAGAGGGAGAAGAGGAGGATAAAATTAAGCAGTAATTCGAAAGTGAAGAGAACCCACTAGTCTTACTGCTTCACTGATATCAATAATCAAAATCAGCTGTACTACTTCGAAACAAAAATTAAAAAAAAAAACCATATTTCTCGTCGATGGTATCCCACAGCAACAACTCGGTGTCCAAAATGCAGCTTTCGACGGATGGTGCAAAAAACGAGTTGATTCGGTGATCGAGTACGGGCGCAATGGTTTTTGTGAAATCGTTTTTGGCCCTCGAAAAATATCGCATTTCACCACCGGGGCCTCTATGCAGCAAAAAATGCTCACCATCATATTTCACTTCCACGTAAAACTGTTCGCCACAAAACTGTACAAGCTGAAATAAAGGGAGAACATTGTGCCAGAAATCAGCCAAATTGAAATACTAAACGACAGTCAGCAAAATCGCTGCGTCCATTAGTGTACGGGAAATATTGATAGTTTCAGCGATTTCCCTGGAATGCGTGTTCCCTTTTGCGTTCAACTGCACACCTATTTTTACGCCCAGTTTCAAATCCTCAAAAAAACCATTTCTTCAGAAACCGTAGAAGTGGTCGTTTTGCTCCTCGTCAAAACCAACCATTGGTTACGCCGTCCATCGCTCAAAATCAAGCGGGTACCACGATAATATGATATACTTTCCAAAGAAGTGCGGCATTACATTACCAAAAAGATGTCCATTTTCAATGGCTATATCGATTTTAGCCTATATTTTCAGATCAGTCCTAGAGAAGAATGCTCACATAACTTTAATGGGGAGGGGGGAAACTGCCCGCGCTTCTTATCGCCCCTTTTGCAAGACAATATTTTCAACGGAATTTAAAAGTTAATCTTGTAAATCTCAAGTTTTAAGTTATTTTCAAAAACTGATAAAATAAGCCGACTGCAGAAGCCATTGTAAAGTGAAAGCTGTGGAAAGCTGCGAGCTTTAGTCCGGTGATTAATTGCTGGCGTTCGTTTCGTAAGTTACAAGAATTACCCGCCCAACAATTCTCCAAACAGAAGCACATAACAGTAAAATAAAGTGTGAAAGCTAATAGTTTAAGAACCAAATACACACCCTGTCGTAAACATTTGCGGTGCCATGCCTCACACGCGACAATAGCATAGGCTCGAAACGTCGAAAAAGCATGCTCGAATCGTCCGTCATTTTACCGCGTGCAGCCAATTCGCATATTCGTCGTAAACTGATGCCAGCTTGACGCAACTCGGCGCCACGTGGATGCACCCAGCTCACCAAGTGCAGTGCCGTGACGTG